TATAAGATGTATTTCTAGTTGTTTGACTGACTACCAAAAAAAGCATTAAGAGTTAAGCCTAGCCTCCTACCTGATGATGAGCTCATGAAAGAGATTGAAAGCTTGTGGTTAAATAAACAACTTTATTTCATAATGGAGAAAGCTTGCTAATAAATCTATTGTTTATTTATATACAAATATCCATGTTTGAAAGAGATATTGAAGAATTAGTTAAAAGTTATTAAATGGACATTTATACAGAAGTTCAAATAGTTATGCTGAAAAAAACATATTTGTTGTAAACAACTATATTAGTTCCATGATACATCACCTCTTGATATGAATTAAAAAACGTCTTAAACTGAAGAAAAGGACACCAGTCTAGTGTTAACTCAACACTAATACGCAATGTCTTTAATTAGAGAAAAGATTGACTGGTCTTTTTTGTTATACTTTTAAACACAAAGCATATTACATTTATGTAAGCATTCAAGATGTTTTTGATGTTACATACATAGTCATTGTTTTTACTCCTTACTGCCTAATTGTTCTGGTTTTATAAATATGAGACTGACATGGTTTACAATATAATTCAAAAAGTACCTTTAAGTTTAAACCATCATAATGATAAAGTTTTCATTTTTAAGGTAAAGTTGATCGTATTTTATCTTGTTGTGACTTCCCGCTCTTTTTTTTTAAGGCAATTCTTTAGCTGTTAGAAAATATTATGAGGAGTTAACTTGGATGAGATCATGATAAATTTTAACAAGAATAATTTGGGAAAAAATTTAAAGTGTGGTTAGTGATAAATTAAAGAACACACACACACACACACATATATATATATATATTTTTTTTTTTTTCTTAAACTTCAGCATAATTGGGTACATGTATTAAAGTTTTCTTAGTTAAAAAAATGTGAAAATTTTAATATTAATCAAAAATAAGAGGAATTTTTGAAGTAGAGGACAGGAGGAATTAATCAGTAAAAAGTAACAATAATTACAAAATATTAAGAACTAAAGTGAATAAAGATATTCCTTTAACAAAAAAGAACTTTCAAATATGGGTGAAAGGTTATAACTCTGTGTCATTATATGAAAGTTGACTCTAAAGCTTTTTTGCGAATGGTATTAAGTACCATATGTAATATATCATACATATTTTGATAGAGCATTAAATGCTTTAAAATTTTATAATTTTTTATGCACATAATTACAACTCGTATGCCCTGAGGGCCAGACTAAAAGTTTTTGAATATTGTGAAAAGTAGAACAAGAATGACTTCTACATTTTATGGTCCCTGTCTTAATCAGGAGGACTGTAAAAATTCCAGTTAGTAATTGTTTTATCTTTATCTTTTGATAATTTTCTGTTAACCGGGGTCAGCAATATCAGTGATATCTAACATGTTTAATGAAGAGTATGGTGATATGACTAGATTTTAAACATTTCTTTAAAGAAAAAGGGAGGAGGGATTCTTTATTTGCTAGAAATAAGTTGAGTACTTGCAGGAAATATTATATCACTTAGATATAAATTGGGAACTAAAAAAATGGAGTGTATATTGGTTGAGATTGCTAAGATAAAGGGTAGAAGAAAAATTTTATCATTTTCAGATAGCTTATTGATCAGGTTATTCCTAATGACAGCAATGTCTGCAGAAACATAAATTATTATGGAAAGTTGAATAGGAAATTCCCCCTACACATGAGGTTGAAGAGTTGTTTGAAATTGTGGGGGATTGCATTCATGCTCAGCATGTGGATGAGTCTGCTAGGGAGGATGTTATTTTTAACCCTGTTTCTAGTGATATAATGGTGTTGTATCAGAGCATTTTGGAACTAATTGCTCTTAAATAGTGACATTACAGTTTTCAAAAGTTGCAAGAATAAGAAACCGAGCACTGAGCTAGATAAGAAATATGTAAAAAAATAATAATAAGGCTTGGGAAAAGTATGCTACTTAAGTGTGTTCTAGCTAATGCATAATTCATTCTTAAATGGCCAATTAGGGAAACTGAAATATTAATAAATGATAAACGTACAGTTTTACCCAAGTACTGTCAAGTGACAAGAGGCTCATTCGAATGCCAATACAGCACACACACTGAATTCAGACTATCTCCACACACATCACAATTATTAGACAAACTATTTCACAAGTATATTAACTCTAAGAGAGAGAAGTAATTTTGTTATAAAACAAATCTAGATGTAGGTTTCCAAAGATTGAATTTATTAAATATATAAGGTATTCAGATTTGCATTAAAATAAACCACCTATTCTTTGATTATTAAACTTCTAATAACTTTCAACATATCAATGAAGTTTCTACACTCCTTAGAATATAAGTCCAAATTTGAAGCTCCTTGTTTTAACTCAAACTTCTTGAACTATATACATTTAATAGTAACCTATCATTGCACTTTTCTTATCTTAATGTTATTCTTCTTGCTATCAGAGGACCAAAACTGAATCCAATATTCTTAATGAGGTATTATGAAAGTTATATTCAAGTTAACAAAAACTTTCTTATATTTTTAAATCGGGATTTTTGATAAATACACGTAAATGTGAATCCTACATAGCTTCGTTAAGGAAACTTCAAGCTGTTATCAATCACACTAAAAACAAATTATTTTTTACATCAGTATTAATTCTCCCATCACACAAATATGTTTCCAAATTGAAAAAAGACACAAGGTATACATAGTTTTTCTCAGTACTAATATCCATTTCCCACTAACATATACAAGACTGCCCAATAACATTAGCCTCTTCCATAACTGTGATATAATCAGCAAATTTGGAAGAATTTTTGCCTTAGAAAATATCAAAATGGTGAGATATGAATAACAAAATTGCCAAAATAACATTTTTCTAGATTTATGTATTAAGCCCATAATTTCTTATGTCTCTCCCTTAAAGCCAATTTTATAAATTTCACAATTGGATACACTGTATAAGAGATTAAGTGACTGATACAAAGAAGAAAAATGTAAATTAAGCTTTATTAATACTTGTTAGTTAAACAAAACTAACTTAAAAATGGGAATGTATTTAATGTAAACTTTTCTCTTCAGATTTTTAAAAATTCCAAAATATAATAGTATATTTATAAATAAATGAAAAATGCTAAACTTACAAGAATGTGAAGGGTAGTGTTAAAATGGAGGTTCCAACTTTGTTTTCTTTAAACTTAAAAAAGATTAACTAAATTGTTTTATATGTTAGATGTGGCTGTGAAAGTCTTACAGCTCAAAACATCAAACTTGACTTCAAGGTTTTTTAATACCCACATGAACAAAAGACTACAAATATAAGAGTTCAGGATCAGGAGTGTAGTTGGGGGTGGGGGATGGGGAGTCAAACAACCACCTTAACATTTTAAAAGGTCCACTTCTAATTTTTTTATGAACACTTTCATGTAAATCACTTAAATTCTTTGTTTAGAAGAAGGTCCACATTTTTTTTGGAAGTTAACCCTCCCTCCCATGATGTAGTGCTGGCTATGATCCTGAGGATAATATTAGACTTTCAACAAAGTGCTAAACACCATTTTTATTAGTGAAGGAGAAAAATGTATAAAAATGCTTTCTTTAAAGCTAAAAAAAATAAATTCTTTAGATTAGAGCTTAGATGATGTATGGCAGAATTTAACTTGAAATACTGAAGTAGTTGACTTGAGAAGTGTCAAAGACCCAGTTTCTTTTTTTAAGTATTTAAGAAAGAATACAATTTCTGATGATTGGAAGATAATAGTGTTTATATAGTACCTATTATTGAAAGAAGGAGTTGAGGTAGGACCCAGGAAAGGACAGACCTGTTTGTTTGATGTACTCTATTGTGAGAGATAGCTCCAATAGAATCTTGAAAGTTGTCATTTAAGAAACAGAACAAAATGTTTTTCAAAGATATTTTACTGCCTCATAAAGAGTTTATTATGGCTTCATCTTTTTTCTTTACTGGGGGAGGGGTGTATGGCGTCCTGTTAAATGTCACATGTATCATTAATTTCAGAAAATCTTCACAAAATTACCACAAAAATGTTTATATAGCATACTGGGTTCTAGTGGAATTGGTGGGCAAGTTAAAAAGTAGATATAAAATAGCTTGGTGGTGGAAAGCATGTTGTAGTAACCTTTCTAAAATCATTAATGATAAGAAAGATTAATTTACAAAAACAATGTAAATAGGTTTCAGTTATTAAACAGCATCAAGTGATGCATTTTGAATATGAGAATTTAAAAGAGAAACTGCTGGGTTGAAAAGGAAAATGATTTGAGAATGCTGAGATTTATTTATAGAAGTTTTTAAGAGTGATTAGAAGTTACAGACAGAATAAGAATTATATCTGGATTTAAACATTTTGACAATGAAGAGAAACTTAGAATCATGGAGGAATTGTTTTCTTTAGAGCAAATAATTACTGACTGTGATTTAAGATTTTAAAATTGACAGACCTTGGATAGATTGTAATTAGGAGATATTTTTCTTGGAATAATAATGTTAAGAGTAAGTCTTTAAACATTAGAGTAATAAGCTTGAGTAGCCCATGTTCATCCTCATTGTTCAGCATAAGTACTTCTCTATTGGAGTTATAAAATTGTTGAATGCTTTGGTAATCTTTAGTTTAAAATTATTGAACTTTTTGCAAGATGTGGTAAGTATGTAGATGCAAAGGGCTACATTAGTTTGTTAGTAGGAATGGTGTCGTTGACAAGCTGAATGATTTTATCCTTTTCTTTCTTCATTTTATGATTAAAACTGTGTGTACCATATCATAAAATGTTTAATAAGCTGAAGAAGGATCTCTTGTGTGCTTTAATAATTTATATGTTAATGTGATTTCTGTCTTGAAAAAGGAGAATTGTAGGCAACATTCACAGGCCTCTCATACTTAATAATTATTGGTATGCATTAGTTATTTTACTCTCATATTTATGTGAATATTTTTGTGTTAAAACATATATTAATCTGAAGAAACTACCCTAACTCTTGTTGTTGTTTTTTTCCAGCACCTCCTACAAATGGTGTGATAAATCTGGTGGAATGTTTCTTCATGTGCTGAGACTTTTGTTGAAGATGTTGTGATAACATTAGAAGATTGTGCATGTTTCCAATTAATGTAAAGTACATAAATTTTGTTCAAGAAATCAAGTAGTGCCTTTAAAATTTGCTCAGTATAAGAAAGAGCATGACACGTATGGAAGTGACTGTGTATGATGTGGATTGTACAAAACATTGATACATCTACATATAGATCAAGGATCACTTGAATATCTTTCCAAGTAGCTACACAGTTTTGTTATATAATGTTACAACAGGTTTTTATTCACTCTTCACATCCATGCGCATTTTTCAGGTAACTAAGCAATGAGGAATAGTCTTTTTAACTTATGTAAGCTTTCTACCATCGTATGCTATACAAAATTGTAAGGTAGTATTTCATTATTTTCAATTGTAGTAAATAAAGGATGTGATAGTGTTTCATGTGTGTGACGTGAGTACAAATAATAAAAAAACATGGGTCCAGAGGAAAGGTTGAGGGAATTGGAGCAGCTTTTTCTTGGTGGACCTGTTGTTGCTAGTGGAAACAGTTTCAGTGTAGAAACTCTGTTGGATGTGCTTCTGGTTCTTTATGAAGAATGTTGCAATTCTTCGCTTCGTCGAGAAAAAACGGTGTCTCAGTTTATAGATTATGGTAAGTTGGAGTTCAGATTTTTTACTAGAAATTTGATGTTGTTTTACTACTACGAAACATTTACATTTTACTGGCAACTACCATTTAGTGATAGCTATCAAGTATACAAAGAAATTTTATCCTACTTGTAATGTAAATGCCTATCACCTTTTTGGCTTTTAGAGCTTTTCAAAGGTTTAGTAACTTGTCTTATTCAATGTATTATTTGATATTTATTGAATAATAGATGTTTATGGCTATAGTATTTTTTTATATAATATGTGAAATGTTAAGCTTAGTTTATTAAATATCTTTTTCTGTAAGAGTTTATTTTATAAATATAAATATATATATATATATAAATGTCCAAGAAGTATTCTGTCTCAAAACTGAAAACTGATGACGGGATACATATATGTCAGAGGTGTGGAATTCTTATTGACCAATGTCCAAGACAAGTTTTGCTGTTATGCTTGCACATTAGACTTTTTTTTTTACATTGTTTGTTATATTGTTATAAAAACACTTGTAACAGTTTTATTTGAAAAATATCCCACTTGATTGCATACTATTATTTGTGAAAGCTGCAGAAAAACATCTTACAAATATTTAAAAAACACTGCATCTGTATACAGTTGATTTGTACAATTTTTGCAAACTAACACATTTAATATAAATATTATGATAAATATACATTAAATATTTAAATTTATAGAAATTATGCAAACAGTTGGGTCACCAGTACATTTTAAGTCACCTTATTAATGTCCAAATCCCAGTTTTATATGTGTTTTTGTTATCACTGGTAACTGTTAAATAAAAGCAAAATCTTAAAAGTTATATTCTACTTTTTTGCATGTTTTGTGGGATGGAGAGGAAGCAGTTAGATTCTTAAGAAGGAAAGATTAGTTTTTCTAGTATCTTGTCCCTTTATGTACATGCATTTCAGTAGATAAAGCAGTTGTCTGGAAAGTGACAGTGGGGTGGGGTGCGTATGTTATGTATTTGAAAGTAACAGAAAGATAGTAATATGTGTATGAAGTGTTGTTAATATTAGAAAAATGATAGCATTTATACAGAGTATATTGTTAATCATAAACTGTCTAAAGTTTTGGTAGAGTATTATAGCCTTCTGTTCTGATGACTAGGTATGTTAAAATATATCTTATTCAAACATTTTACATTAGTTTTTATGATAGTCTGTATTGCTATATGATAGTTTTTATTGTTTCAATGTATGGAAGTACAGCAATGAACATTTCTAAATATTTATTTAAAAAATAGTATGGTGAGATAACACAGGCCTGCAATGTTTTTATTGTCTTAATTTTTACATGTTCTACAGTAATTCCTGTATCCTGAATCCAAAAGTGATATCCATTTTTCTCCATCACATACAGATTTTTCACAAAACGTCATATGTACTTTTACCTAAGTGAATCATTTCCATTGAAATTGGGTCACATTTTGTTATGCTTAAAATGTTGACAACCACTGGCTATAGATTTCTTTACCTGAGAGTCTTATCAATCGTTCTAGAACCCTCTAGTATATATATAGTTAACAGACCACATGATGTGCCATTTTGGATAGTATTTATTTGTGGGTGCACTTTGACATTATTTTTTCTTTTCAGTATTATTTATTCATTGCTATGGCAACAATAGGTTGTTCAAATGACCCAAACATATTATGTTGTATTTGTTGTAAATTCGATCTAAGTAAGTTTTTTATTTCTTCCCAATTTGTTAAAAATCCTTACCTGATAGGAAAAAATTAATATTATTTTCAAAATCTATGTAGCTAAATTACGGAAAATCCATTATTAAAACCAAAACACCTTTTATGAAGTTTAAGTTCCCAGGCCTGCATAAATATCAAATTTCGAATATTCTTACTCTCTTTTGGGAACCATTATTATTTTTTTTTTTTGTACAGACACTTTGGTCCTTAGGATGCATTACTACAGTGTGTATACATATGCTCTTGTATACTGCAGTTAACTCGTAGACAGTGTATGTTAAAACATTCATCAGATGTATTGGAACTGGGAGGTTCTGTAGCATCCCCGCTTTTACAACTCCTTATATTTTCAATCTCTCATTGTAAAATCTACATGTCTAGCCAAGTGCCCCCACTTTACAACTCCTTTCTACACCACTGGTGACTGATGTAATGTTCACAGCAACTGAAGTTTTCAAAATCAGGCTATAAACCTACATTCTATAGAGATTTTTAGCTAAAATCAAACTGTAAAACTACTTTTTGTAGAGATTTTTAGCTAAAATCAAACTGTAAAACTACTTTTTGTAGAGGTTTTCAGTTAAAATCAGACAATAAAACTACATCCTGTAGAGATTTTTAGCTAAAATCGTACTGTAAAACTACTTTTTGTAGAGGTTTTAGTTAAAATCGTACTGTAAAACTATATTTTGTAGAGGTTTCTAGTTATATGTTAATTTCAACAAGTGTTCAAATTCTTCATGTAAGATGTTTTTTCTATAGCTCATGAAGATATTCTAATTCAGGAATACAAGTTAAGTACTTCATTTAAAGTCCGTTATCATACAGCCAATATGAGTTTATTACTACACATAGTTTCCCTGAGGTTAAGCAGTGCAGTGTATATTCTCATGAGGGTTATTTGTTACGTGAAGGTCCTATTCCTGTCAAATGGTAGTCACTTTTGGTCAGTCTGTGTGTGTAGATCTGCTTCATTTGTTGTGTATGAAGTGTACAGCCTTTTTAAGTTGGTTACTGTATGTATACCAGTTTAGGTCTTACAGTCTTTGGCGCCTTAAAATTAAAGAACCGTCGCTAATACGAAGGTATTTACGATATTGAATACAGGTTTTCGATTATTTAACCAGTTTACCGGTCAATTTAAGGCCTATGGTGTTGCGTTTGAGGTCAAGTTGATTCACTGCAGATTTATGTTCTACGTGTAGAGTCCGTTAAGTCGGATGGTACGTTTTCGTCCACCCTAAGTGTATGTACAAAATATAAACTCACTTTACACCATATGGTACATGTTTTGATCAGGTATTAAAAGAGAGAATTTCGTGAGGTGAAGTTTTGCAGTTGAATGATTAGTTATGGGTATAGAGAAAAAATGAAGAACGAATTTGTAAGGTGAACTTGCTTCCTTTAACCTCTCCTCTGCGCTAAGACAATTTTAAGTAGGAGACTACGTGTTCTTTTGAGCAATTTTTATATAGCTGAAACCTGCATTTGTATGACAGTTTTATTATTAATTCTTTGTAACTATCCATCATTGAATTATAAGTTTATAAGATTTAAAAGAAATACAAAACTTTACACAAATAATTTTTAGAATTTATTCTGGGTGAAACAGATATATGTCCATATGTAATAAAAACGTCTTATTTATAAACATTAGTGATAGTCTAGAGAAACTTCGCTACAGAAATAACTGATCCACTCAGTTTTGCCAGCTGCACTTCCTGTGTACTGGCACGTACCTAGCATGAGTCAAACGAGCCTGATGCACAAGCCCACCTGGCTCACGGCGTATTGGTCACGTTTGTTTTTTTTTGTTTTCTTGCCTTTATGAATCAGGTGTGAATTATACTTGTTATTACTGAAAGGTGTAGTAAGCTTGTTCGGCATAACATTTGAACATTATGTAGTGAATTAACTTTTTTGTCACCAAGTTTCACTCGAATCGTGACCAAGGCTCCGTGTATTTTTTCTTTCTCTCATAAGATAAATATTTTCTAAATAAAAACTGAGTTTTGGATGTTTCAGACCCCGGCTATATTTCATTATTCTCTTTAGTGGGTAATAATAACAGTTTAATAGATCAAGATATATTTTAATGTCTCTATTATGCATAAACTTAAAAACAATCTCTTTAAACATGCTTTGTTTTTCCATTTGCTACATTCTACAAAATCGGTTCTGAAGAGACAGTTTAAACGCCTTGTAGCACATTTTTATATATGGAAGACAGTTTTTAAAGGTATATTATATTCTATGCGTATAATCGTTAGTGTAATTTTGGAAATAAATGAAAGCGTTTTAAAGTTGTTTTTACTAAACTCGTCTACTTTGCAAGTTATTTAAAAGTTCTTGTTTTTCAACGTTTCTGAAGTCCCCCGGTGGAACAACATTAAGTCTTCGCATTTACAATGCTATAATCAGGGGTTCGATTCCTCTCGGTGGACACAGCAGATAGCCCGATGTGGCTTTGCTATAAGAAAACACACACACCCGCACGTTTTTGAAATTATCGCCACCTACTGGCAGCTGTATAACTGACAAAAAGCTTTTTTTTGCATAGTAACTAAATATTTAATATTGGGTTTCATTATTTAGTCGACTGAAACATGTTTATGGAGTAAAAAAAGAATTCTTGCGCGCTTCAAGCGAGCCAATACCGGCTAGAAATTTATTTTTATTTTAAAAACAAACAAGTACAAAAGTTGCTTGATATAGAAAAACAATTGTCGTCTCAAAGGTAGAAGTACTTCGTTTTGTTGAATGTCTTGCTTAACCTGAAGCCACGTATGTAAACAGTAAAGGAATGTTTAACCAAGAGTAGAGGTTACATCTCTTTCTTGCTGCGGGCAGTGATATTTATATTTATAAAACGGAATACCAACTTTAATATTTGAAAACGAACGTCTTTCCTGGCACAGTGTATTTTTCGTTCATCATGTTTAGTTTGTTTATTCATTCAAATACACTTTTATACACATTAAATAGGAAAGAAAGAAAACCAGATGTTTATCGTGACGTTACCGCCCAGTACAAGTGTACAGTGGGCGTGTCAAAGGAAGTTTCTTACTGGAGAATATTTGTAGAACGTGACGTAACGTATAGAAATACACGTTCATTTGTCGGAAAGATTAAATGTATAATTTCTAAAGCAAGAAGACGTATTCTTCAACTTAGAATTTGATAACGAGACATTGTCATGAGTAGAAGTTAACTTTTTAAGGCAGTAGTGAGAAAGGTTGGAAACAAAACTATCTCAGTCATTAGCTGTTTACACGAAC